TCACATTAATCTTCTATGCAAATAACACATTTCCTGGACTTGTGAACTAAAAAGGTCTTAAAAACTGGAAACAATCAGGATTTTGTGCTTAAGAAAAATGGAGAGCAGTATTTAGTCCTGGCAGACTCTCTTGCTCCCCTTCCCCAAACCAGAATTCAGTCTGATATCAGGTATGAAGCAAAATTACAGCTCAGAGTGGAAAATTAGGACCTGATCTTGCAAAACCAAACAGCTTCCCCTTAAAATGTGGCTCAAAAACATGCAATAAACCCCAGCCCTCAAGCAGCCTTCTATAGCGAGGCCTGCAGAACTGCGTTGATGTTGCTCAATTAGCCATGAGAAAGAATGCTAGGAAAAATGGAAAATAATCTAGAACAAACAGATTAAATCTGGAGATACTAGTCATAATATTTCCTTCCTTCCTGTCTTCTCTCTGCCTTACTGCTCCCCTCCCCACCAACAAGTATTTGTTGTAAAAGCAGATTTCCCATCTTCTCTCTTTCCAACTAGCAATCTAAGGGAAAAAAAAAGAAGAGAGGGGGGGAAAGAAAAAAAAAGAAAGATTTCCTATCTCTGCACATTCATTGTAAAAGTTTCCAGGCACAATAAACCCTGTGGGCATGGAAAAGTACAACAGTGCTTCTTCGTCAGGCTTGAGGTTGCTGGAGGATAATCAGTAAAACATGTCTTTCAAAAATCAGAGGAAAAGCATGAAAATATTTCAGAAGGAAAAAATCCCACCAAATGATGCAAAAGGACTGTATTCACATGAGGGAACGAGTACGGGGGAAACAGAGCACAGGACTTTTCACAAGTAGACAGAGCTACTTATTTTGCAGAAAAATCTATTGTAAGCAGCTTTTCTCTCTAATCAATTAGGTACATGCATTACTATTAGATGGAGTGAGCAGCTGTGCCTTCAAAGAACCCCAGAGATGTACCTTTTGATTCTGGAAGATCATTCACATAGTGCATGTAGAAGAAAAACTCTGTACCCTGCAACTTTAAAGGTTTCCCAAATAACCACCTCAGCATCAGACTTCTTCATGGTGCATTGTGAACAACCAGAACTTCCAACCATATCAGGTACACACACAAAATACATGAATAAGGATGTAGAGTTGGCCTGGAGGGATACAATACATAGCTCCCAGAGCAGAGCTGTGTTGTTGAAAAAACTTCAAGCTCACATCCTCCCCCGAATCACCTTGTTTGAAATCTGTGACCATTTCTGTAGATAATCTTCCATCTTTGTGAACCACAAAGATGATCAACAAGTTCCAAGTAAACTCAGCTGGTGAAATACTGTCTATGTTGCATTTCAAGTGGTTGATGTTAGCTGTGAATTCCTGAAGAGTTACTTATGCTTTGTGATGTCCTCCTCTGGCCCTTCGTCCACTTTGGTTGCTAATGCCTAACAGGGAGCTAGCGAACAGCACTTAATATCTGCCTTTAAGAAACCAGAGAGAAGTACTACCATATCCCCTGTGTAGTGTCTCGATGGAAATTTGGTGCTTTGCCTAAGAAACCTTCCATGAAAGCTGGCAGGTTAAAGACATTCATGAGCTGACACTAGCAGCAAAATGACAAGATTCCTGAAAAGAGCCAACTGTTTTTTCATATTTCTTTTTAGCAAATACTCAAAGGACAAAACATGTTTGGATTAAGGTCTTGAAATGGGATGAGGCTTTCCAATTACTCTAGGAGCTAGGGAAGTTCAATAAGTACTGTGAATTGTCAACTAGAAGAATTGCCTTCACCAGCAGACCAAGGATCTTTCTCATCTTGAGGATAGCACCTGTGTAATGCACAAGGGATGAACAATGGTCTAAATATCTTACAACAGCTATTTGCAACTAAACAACAAAGGTATTGAAATAGATGGATAAAGACAATCTTACTTGAGATATAAAGCATTGAGATACAGCTCAGAAGAGCTTATGTCAACACTCATTGGGCAAAACTCTTTTCAGGATAATGAGAATGAACAGGTTCAAAATGCTAAAAATAGCTCCAGGTTTTTTCCTACTGTGAAGAACTGGAGCCGGAATTCACTCCTCCCTCCTGATGGGAAACAGACTGTTCTCAGGTAAACACAGTAACTGCAGGTTCCCCACCTTGCACATTGGATTGACACCTCCTCCTCCCCAAAAAAGGATAAAAAGCACCGCAGTCATGACAATGACCAGCCACCAGCGTGATTATACCCTCAAGTTAAATGCAATTAGTATATTGTGATATAGGCAAAACCAAAACATTTCCATTCATCACTGCATTAACAGAACCTTGTAAATCTACAGTTAAGTATTATGAAGAGTATCACAGAGGAAGAGTCTTTCCAGGTCAGCAAAAGTCTTCACTATGAAAAATAAGTCACAGGCGAGGAAACGAGTATTCTCTCACCCACATAATCACATTATTTCTGGAAAGCACTAGAGTCAATTCCCTAGGAGCGAAAGGCATTTCAAAGAACGTAAATCCACTTAGCAGAAATAAAAATGGATGTTAACTTTCTTTGTTTCTTTTGTCCAGGTGAAAGGCAATCCGAAGAGCCTTAAAGTGGTAAAGCTCAGGAAACAGCAAATCTCAGCAGCTGCACTGGTGAAGAACTGATTTACCTTTGTCACCTAAAAGAAAAAGTGCAGCCTTTTAGCCTCAAAGACAAATCTTAGGGAAGTTGGAGAAATGAAGAAAACCACTGCAAGCTGAAGATAATGATAAATTCAAATAAGAGACAGCCTGTCCTCACTGCAATGTTAATCCAAGCATTGCCTCAGCCTGTGCACACAGACAATAGTCTTCTGCTTAAATTGGGCAGTACTTTAACTCTGAGCTTGCTGGCCCAGCAGCACAGTTCAAACACCAGCGATTCTTGCACTGCCAATGCAGCAAGGCCTTCGCTAATGCACACTAACCTCGTCACCACTGCTGCTTGACTGCTGTTCAGCAGTAAGAACATAAAAAAGGAAGGGAAAAAAAACAACCCACAAACAAAGGGCTGCACTGAGTCAGACTGTAGATGATCTACCCAGTCTCCTGCCTCTTAGCAGTGGCCAAGATAAGAGTCTTAGGTCTTACATCAGGGCAGGCATGGAGGGAGCAGTGCTTCTCCAGAACACTCCCGGAGCTGCCAGCAACAGCAGCTTGGGGATTTCCTGAGCCAAAGGTGGTGTCTTTGTACTTCATAATCCTCTGTGGATTTTTTCGTCAGTGCAACAAAACAAACTGAGTAAGCCCTAAGTGGAAAGATAACTTAAGGAATTCAAAAGCCACAAGAAGAAATGAAGGTGAAGGACTGGCAGGCAGAGTTAGAAACTCAACTGTCCCTGGCAAAAAGAAAACCCTCGCACAGAACGTTGGTCCAAGTTTTACATTATCCACTACCCTTCGAGAATCAAGAGTTTCTCACCAGTTTTTCTTTTTCAGTTCATGTAATCACAAGATAAGAATCCTAGAGGCAGAGCTATTACTCAGAAGTTCAAACATATCAGCTAGGAGAAGAATGTGGATTCTCCTATGCTGGGAAGAGCCAAAAATGCTGCTTTTTCATTAAAATATTTCAAAAGGAGAATAATTCTTTTGCAAACTCAAATATTTAAGGTGATCCTAACTTAGCTGGCAAGTCATTATGCTTTGGTTGGACTTCAGTACAGTATTTACCATTCTGACAATATGTAAAAGAAAATGAAAACTAGTTTTTACTTTGCACTTTTTCTCCTCTCTGTTTTCTGACCTACGGAGTTTAACAAAACACAGCAGCGATTTGATACAACCATGCTATACTGGAGCTTCCCTAACCGAAGCTATATAAATATGTAAGAGGGCACAGCTCTTTTCCAATTTAAGAGGAAGCTTCCTTGATTTCTTCTGAACATTATGTTTTTCAAGAAACAGTCCAAGAAATATATGTTTTTCAGTATTTATTTTTCCTCAAACACAAGTGTCACTCTTAATGCTTTCTAGACACTCCCGAACAGCAGAGAATGTAAGAGCTCAGGAAACACAAAACCAGTCCTGACTTCAACTGCTAGAAATGTAGGTGCCATGAAGCTCCGACCAAGCTGCTGTGTTTGTGTGAAGTTCTATTCCGTGTGCAACTGTCCCGACTATCACATCCTAACAGACCTTAAGACATACTCTGTTCTCTCCAGCTGTCGGAAGGGGAAAGCAGCTGTCCTTTCACCGCTTTCTAAAATTTCTTGACCAAAGAGATTGTGTTAATAGTGTAGCAAGGTGGGGGTGGGGGGAGGGGGAAAGAAAAAAAGAGGCTCTACCACCATCAGGGAACAATTTTACCATCTACTTCTCCCACCCACCACTGACTTCCAAACCTACAATAATTTGTACTAAGAGGGTCCCTTCAATTCAAGACAGTATTAGTTAATGATATTAATTTCCTTCTGGTTCTTCTTACAAAAAGATACCAGCAACAATAAAAACACCACTGCTAGCTTCGTTCACAGTAGCAGAACAACTTCAGTAAGTAAATTATAATTCAAAGAACCAAACTTTTTCAATATACAACCCCCAAATACTGGATGGCTTGACACCTGCATCAGATGATCATTTTTACTCTTTATCACATGGTAGTGGATTTCAAGATCCTAGCATTGATTAATTCTTAATAACTCCAGAATAAAATTAAAATTATTTTCATACCGGCCAAAAATATAATTTACAGCATTGCTATCACTATTTGATTTACAGCACCATCTAAGTATTGAATAATCAGCAGTACTAATGTAATGCAAACTGATAGAGTACAAAATCTAGCTCTCTACAGTCTAGTAAAGTAACTATTCCTTAAATGCTGTCATTAGAAGTTCTTACTTTCTGTCTGGCCCCTGCCAAACCTAGCTCACACAGGCAGTCCTGCTGATTTCAGTAGGACTACCTATTCAGTGAGGTTACTCACACAAGAAGGAATCTGCAGGTCTAGATCCTTCCATCTTGATTTATAGGCATGAAGCATATGAGTCTAGCAGGAATTTAACACTTACGCTTCCACAGTTGTTCTTACAGTCTGTTCCTCACCATCTTCATCTGAGCTGCTACATGTTGCATCAGAGTCCAGATCCTTCTCCACGCGAGACAGCAGCCCTCCAGTAGAAAGTGCAAACCCCCGGATTTCACCTGGTGCAACGCTAACTCCGTTCTGTACGTCCGTACTCGAACTACTCTCCAAAGTAGTTGCGTTGTTTTCTGGCCAACCTTCAGTGCACCTGAGGGAGCTACTGCTCAAAAATCTTGTTGGCTCGTGGAAAACCTTCATTCTTTGTAGCTGATGTTTCACGAAGCATTTCAGCTGCTGATCACAGTGTTTGATAACATGCTTTGCCAGGAGCATTTGTAAACGTTTCTGAGTTCTTTTGGCGCGACTGATTTCCATTTGTTGCTTAGTGACACACTGGAGTAAGCGAGCATACACCTCCTCCGGGGTGCAGCTCAAAATCCCTTCTGAAGGCCCATGAAGAATTTGGTGTAATAAATCCCCTTTTATTGTTTCAGTGCAGACTTCCAAAGCCCTACCCAAAAAACCATTCTTCTTGTACCATTTACCATTTAAAAGCATTTCTTCTGCATTACTGGATTCAGCTACATTTGAATCCAAAAGTCTCTGCGTTTCTGCCAAATTCGGAGATGTGGTCTCTGAAAATGTTTCCCCTTTGACCTGTTCCTCAGGTTCTGAATGACTAATCTGACCAAATGATGTGTCAGCACCATTATGTAATGAATTTCTCATCTTGGAGCCGTCGGGCTCTCCCGCTTTCGTTTGCTTACCGGTTTTGTTGCTAAACGCAGAATTTGTACTCATTAACAAGACAGACTGATATCGCTTGGAGGATGGTGGAGAACCAAAATGCTGCACACTGAAGATATCATTCCTGAGGTTGGGCTCAGCAGTGGGGAACCCCAGGACTGAGCAAGTAATCTGTGCGATGGAGTCCTCTTTTATCTTCTCTTCCACTGCTCTGGAATTTTCCATGCACAAAGCTGTATCAGACTCCATAGCTCTAGAGGACAAAGAAGGTGACAAGTGGATACCATGACCTTTTGTTGCTGCCTCTCTGAGGGCTGGTGTCATTATAGCTACGGTACGTAGTTTACAGCAAACCTGAAAATAACATGGTCCATGTAAATTTTCTCATTTTCATGACATGGTACAAATACAACTCTGTCAGACATTTCATTCTTTCAACATTTCAACGATATTCAAAGATTCCATAAAAAAGGACATTATCTAAAGAACACGGATGGACTACGCTCCCTCCCAAGTCAAACAAGAACACCCTTTCTGTTTTTTCTTTATTTCATTCAGCGGTTGTTCCATGTGTAATGAAAGCCTTTACCTCTCAGGGGAGTAAGTGTTCATACCTCATTGCATTTCTGATCCTATCAGAGTGAGAAATAAGACTCACAAAGTTCAGACTGTCATCTAACCTTGCCCAAACTGAAAAACATGACCGTAAGCCACGTGACTGGGAGGATGCATTTTAAAATATGTGTGCGGGTGTATGTATATGTACATGCACACATACAGAGATGCACATCTACACATCCTCACCCCAGAACTCTGGCTGGATTTTATTTTAATCTGCTCTGGAGACAAGTTACTTTTTGAGTTGCATTTGGTTTTCTTTCAAGTATTTTTTTTTTATACTCAAATGAGTCAACATCAACAGCATCACAGAAACGGGAGCTATGCAGCTACCTATTACAAGTTCAGCAAAGCAGAACACCTACCACTCTGAAACACTCTGAAATAAACTCAGAGGCACTACTGGGAAAAATATATTTAATGTAAATCTATATAAAGCAAGCACTTGACTAATTAATGTATTACATATTCTCACAAATACACTGTAAAAACCAATCATCAAGGCTAATGCTTTAAAAACAGAGAACTCTAAGTTCTAAATGTTTCCTAAAAAATCTTTCCTGTGCCTTTGTATCCAGTGCTTCTTTATTCATCAGGCACTGCCTGCAAAATACAAACACAATATTCTTTGATAACAATTTGAGTAAAGACAAATGGTTTTCCTTTACAAACCCTATGGCTTGCCATAGCTTAGACAAAGGGTTCCCAAACTTTAGGATCAACAGACCAGTGTCAACCTTCACCACTTCTTGTCAGCAGCTACGCTGCCATGTCATGTATCTATTCCACAGCCTACAGAGCAGGAGTCACTGCCTTACACCGTACTTTCAGCTTTTTTTAGGAGACGGTTAAATAAACCCAATGAAAGATTTAATTGAACGTGGCCTGCAGAAGCCTGAAAGATAAGCTACTGTCAGTTCTTCATTAAGAAGCTAGAGACAAAACCAGAAACAGTAAGAGAGTCGTAACAAAAGTGAGCATAGCACAGTAATTCCACAGTAAATTCTCTGTTTAAGTGGTGTGCTAGTTGAGCAGCATTTCCATTGCCCTCCTTTTAATGTCTTCAGTTTCTTTGATCTCCACAGCAACTGCCTAGCTCAGCAATTTTCAATGCACAGATCCCATAAGGGGTCAATGATTCTGAGACTGCCACATACGGGCCCTAAGAAAAGCAAACTCCCTGTCTGAAGCCTTAACTTGTTTATAACTACAGGTTTTACGCTGAAGGTGCAAACATTAAAGGGAGATGTGGAAACCTAAGGAGCTGAGAAGTACCAGTCTGGATATTTTCCCCTTAACCTTCAAAACACGAAGAAAAACATAAAGAGCCACATGCTCCAATACTGCCTTAACACTCTCCGTATGCTTTATTCACCTTTCATTGCTCCACGTGTACTTCAACCATAAGGTTTTCATCTCTACATCACCTACCCAGCATCACAGGGACCAGGTTCAGTGGTCCTAACGCTAATCCTAAACAATACTATTAAAATCCCCAGGATTTTAACCTTTATCAACGAGCCAATAACTTCACACTACAGAGGAGTTCAGCACAAAGTCCTCCCCAGTGGACAGCCGTTCAGTAAGAGCCCCGTTACTAGGATCGGGCAGGGAAATGGACCGATGAGAGCTGGAGCCCCAAATCGCAAAGGCTCTGGTGACTCGGCAACGCTCTCAGCATCTGGCTGACACGTGGCTTTGTGTCTTCCCGCTCCTGTAAGAGCTAGCAGGCATAAGAATTTTTAAATCTAAAGGAGTATGGATTCAGACACCTATGCCTCCCCTCCTCTTAGCATATGGCAAATAACTATAGTAAGTCAAAGTGATTTAGCATGGCTAAAACACAAGGGGGAGAGAACTGAAGGCCACACTTTCTCTGTGGGGTTACTATGAACTCAAGGGAGTCCCCATGTTAGACCTGTCCCTGGGAACTCCAAGAAGCTCTCTCAGAAGAACGCTGCCAGCCTGGTATCTACTGAGCAATGAGTTTATAACTGTTCCAACTTTACCATCTACCTTCCTTAGCCCGAGTGGTTTAACAGTCACAGATTGCTACTCCTGAAAGCCAGGAAACGTCCACACACAGCAGAGCTGCTGCTCAAGCAAACAAGAAGTTTGGAGATGTATATCTCATACCTACATGAAGATGGAGGCTATTCAAAAAAACGGCAGCACAAAATTTTCAGAGTGCTGTGTCTTGACTTGATCATATTCCCTCAAATACTACATATCCTTCTGGTACAGTTTCAAATTTCCTAAATTGCAATGAATACCATTAGCAAATTATTTTAAGGTTTTTTTGAGTTTGGGGGACTTCCCCCCCGCCCCCTTTTAGGGGAAAGAGGGGAAGAAATCAAAGTACCCTCAAATTGAACCACAAACATTAAACTAAAGAGCACCGACAAACTGCTAACTAATTAGGAGTTCCTGACAGAAGACGCTTAAATTACAATATAGCTAAAAAAATAAATAAAATACTTTTGAAGAGAGAAATCGCTCAATTAACCCCCTACCCAGCCACTTGCAAACTTCACACGATGTTTCTGCCCTGAAGACAGTTGTGTGAGACACTTCAGGTGTGTTCCTCTCATTTCAGTGACATCAAAAAGACTTTATAAAAGCTGGTACTGTCTCAGTCTCCAGTCCCTGGCATTTCTCCAAGAAGTTCACACACACACACACACCCCCAAAAAGTCACTGGTATATGAGCAAAACAAAGCATCAGCTGCAAAAAAATTAAAAACAAATTTCAGTACAAGTACTTGGCTCGAGGAGAATTGTACAATTTTCATTTTGACACATTTTATTTCATTTTGGCAGAAAGCAGCAAAAATAACTTCACTCCACCCTTATTGGAAATGAGTTTCCAGAGCCAAACCTATTATCTTCTGATGGGGGGAAGAGGGGGGTGAACAAAAGCGAAGATAAGTACTACAACATGGTATTCAGAAAGAGTCTGTATTTTCGTTCTGGGAAAAGCTTTTTTGTCATAGGTAAACCATTTCAAGGATTTTTTCCATTGTGTACTACTTGAGGTTTCAAAACCAGAACAGCTGAAATGCTACTAAACTGGCAAACAGTTTGCTTTTCATCTGCTGAATACGCACTCCACTTGAAAGACTAAAAAGTATTGTAAAAAGAAAAGCTGACGTAAAATAAGTACCGGGAAAGGGAAGAAACAAGTACCAGACACGCACAGTATAGCAACTGATGTTTAAAGTGACTTTATGCTTATCCTCCCCTAATGCCTTAATTACGCAGGAGGGTATAGCTGGGAACTGCAGTTCACCACAGCCCAAGCACTCCCCTGACCCGCTCCCTTCTCTCACCACAGCTACGGTCCCTAATCCCCCAGTGACCCCGGCTCCTCTACAGCTCCTCACCACAGCTATGGGTCCCTAATCCCCCAGTGACCCCTGCTCCTCTACGGCTCCTCTGCCCCCTGCTACTTCTGCTTGTTTCTTAGTCCTTTCTCGACATTTCCGCATTAGACCCTTCTCTACCAGGCTTACCTCAACGGAATTTGTCTAAATCCTGAAACTAGTGTCTTCATGTTGGTAATTAGCAGCACCCTGTTAAAATAAACACAACAAAACCCAACCACAAACCTGCCTGCACACAGGGTGGCATTCTCTTCCCAGCTCTTATTTATAGTCCTTTCACTTTTTGACTCTTTCACACCGCCTTGCATAACACGAGCACTTTTGTTACACAACACTGCAGACAATGTTTGGGGGGATTTTTGCTTGGGGGGATTTTTTTTGCTTGGGGGGAGGACTGCTTTGTGTTTTAGTGGGTTTTTTGTTTGTGGTCTTTTCATTTTCAATGACAATAAAACTCCATTTGGGTTTGTAAGGCTCCTCTGCACCAGCCTTCTCTCCTTGTAAATTGAGTCATCTTTCCTCATCCCAAACACCTGAAACTTTCTTGTTAATAATGAGATTCCTGGAGACCAGGAGATTTTTACATTTACTATTTTTTTTTGCTTTCAGATTCAGGGGCCTACAAATAACATTTCAAATTAATACAGCTGTTTCCACTTTATTCATAGATTAACAGTGTTTCAGATAAGTGAATTTCCAATGTTTATTCCTTGTCTAGAAGGCATTTCAAAAGCAAAGCAAAGTCGCTGGCAGCAGACAGCATCTGGTGAAACACCCAAAGTTAAGCTCAGCAAGAATGTTCAAAAATACCAAATGTCAAACTGCAAGAGCTGCTTTGACGCCTCTTAGAGAAAACCTGCAGCATGAATGGCAGCTACATGAGCAAGTTTGATCTGCCTACAATACAACTGCCGACAAAACCTGGTTTCCTACAGCTTTGTGTTGTTTCCCCGTAATCCCTAGCTCCTCTCAGACAGCCTTCCTGATAATCGCTGGACAAAAATAAAGCGGTGCTCTGGCAGACAGGCGGCACTGCCTTAGCCGTGCTGCCAGGACCGAGAGCCGCCGCCGAGCCGAGCGTGCAGGAGCTGACTTTGGCCAGCTTCTCCAAGCCTTGCCTGGTGGGAGGCATCCACTTGCGTATACTTCACCTACCTCTCCCAATTTTCATAGTAATTTCTAAGAATAGAGAGAACAGCTCAATAGCATAATCTGCATTTTCTCACAGAACAGTTTGCAGCAGTGGCCGCAAAAGAGATGTTGGCCCCACTGGGTATGTCCTGGTTAGGAGTATGAAAGAAAAAGGAAAGAAGTCCATATTTAACACACCTGGGACTAGCCTTTAAGAA